CCAGTACGTTGCAGTTTCTGGATGACTTTCCATCCCTAATATGGTGTGACTGCTGTGTAAATAGCTGCTCGGCGGCGCTGTCTGGGGAACGGTGGCGAGGGGAAAAGTCTGCACATGTTTAATATGGAGATGATTTTTTCCTGGGTAGTTTGGATCTGCAGAAGGTTGGATCCACGGAGGCGGAACGGCTGAGACCCAGGGCCCGCTGTATTAACCAGCACGTCACCGCTGTGGGCTACTGGAGTAGAATCCTGCCCAGAACGCGTGCTTGGGTTTCCCAATCCAGGATCCGAGGGATCAGCCCCAGCTCTGTTCCGAGGGCTGCCTCCAGGACAATCCACGCGCCAGCGCTTTCCACGTGCCCTCCTTGCGGGCTGTGCTCCCATCTGCAGCCAGAGGATGTGCCCCCAGGCAGAGAGCCACAGGTGTTGGCAGAGAGCAGCCCCAGCTGTGGGGAGGAGCCAGCCGGAGGGTCTTGGCAGGGGGGACCCCGGTGGCCGCATCATCTGGGCAGCAGAGCCCGGTGGTTCTGCGCAGGCTGCTTGGATTCATATCCCAGTTCTGCCTCTTCCTTGCTGGGTGACCGTAGGCAAGTTGCTTCACCTCTCTGAGCTTCTGACTGGCCATCTGTGAAATGGGGAATTGCAACACCTCTTACCTCCTGAGGTTATGGAGGATTCCATGGGTTCATGGGTTTAGAAGTGTCCTGCATTCAGAGAGGTGCCAGGAGCTGATGGTGCTGTGGTGGTCAGCTTCCCGTCTCCGAATAGATAAAGCTCAGAAGGTGATTCTGTTTGGGGTTGGGGACAATCTCTAGGGACTCCCAGCACACAGGGGTCTTTGCCTCTGCTGCTGCACAGCAGGGAGACCTGGGGTTGCTCTCTGTAGGAACTGGATGATCTCCATCAGAGCCCAGGAGCCTGGCCGCGGAGGGTCCTTGGTGGTCCCCTGGAACTTTCTGGAAGCAGCATGGCCATCTGCTCAGAAGTGCTCTTCATCTGCTTCCTCTTTGAGCACCAAGTTCTAGGGCTCTCAATTACAGACCTGAAAGGCCACCCCAGGGGATTCCTGTTTCTGAAGGGCTACCCTAGCCACCAAGAGGAAAGACGGTTTTCATTTAAGGCTCAATTTTGCAAAGTCCCCTCTTTGATGGAGTATCTGCCAGGCACAAGGCTGTTTGGAACCGTGGGATGTTTAGGAGGACCCGTGACAAGTTCTTGTTCTCCTGAAGCTCATTGTGTTGGGGTCACAAGCCCAGATGTTTCAGGAGCCCGGCGGATACCAAGAAACGGGAAAGGCTACTCCAGCCAGATCCACTGTTCCCAAAGAAGCCCGGAAACTGGGTTTTATAAGACATCTCCTGCCTTTCAACAGTGGGCATCTGATTTAAATATTAAAACAAGCGCCAACACTGAGCAGAACAGACCAGCAGCATTGTTAGACTTCTGACCTGGATTCTAGAAGTCCCAGTGACGTGCTGGGTGCCCTCATCTTCTGTTGCTGTAACAAATTACCTGAGGCTACATGCTTCAGAAAGAAAAGAAGGCGTCTGGGCTTCCCATTTTGGAGGCTGAAAGTCCGACCTCAGACAGTGCCATCCATCTGGTCTCTGAGGAGTGCCACCTTGCCTGGGTCACAACGTGGTGGAGAAACAGAAAGGGGACAAGGGACCTGGGTGAATGCAGAAGGGGTCGGGCACACGGGGTGGCTCTCCTGGTAGCGACCAGCTGTTGAGGGCACTAACTCCCCGAGACCAGCATTACTGCCTTCAGAGGGAGGCAGCACCCCAGCCACCTACCACCTTCCACCAGGACCCACGGTTCAGGGCCCCCCTCCTGTCACATCGTCTGGCACAGAAGCCTTTGGGGCACCCACCCGAGCCCTGTCCAGGCCAAGCGCGAGCCCTGAGCAGAGTCAGGAGAGAGACCCGGATGGCGTGAGGGAAGGGGCTGCAGGGCTGGGTTCAGGGGAGAGAAGGGAACTCGGGGGCCTCCAGGAGGAGGCTGCGGGCTGCTCCCCACCCCCCACCAAACAGAGCAGAGCTGAGCAAAACCCCCCTTGGGTGGACGGGCCCACACTGAAGAGAGGGACGGGATCTGGGAGCCCAGGGGGCAGGGCTGGGGTGTCCCCAGGTCGGGGAAGCTAGCGGGCGGATCTGAGGGGTCCTGAGGCAGGGCTGGGAGGTGGCAGACAGGAGCCAACGAGGCCGTGGGAGGGGCGGGCAGGGGGAGGGAGCGCGTTAGGGTCGAGCAGACTGGACAAAACCCTGGGCTCTGGACAGGGAGGATCTGGGGTGCTGCAAGGGCATGGTCCAACCACGCAGCTTCTTTCCTGGGTTTTTTGCTTTTATACCATCTCCTTGCAAATCAAATGATACCCCGGTTTTCATGGCCTCCTCTTTGCCTGTTACCCCTGCCTCTCTGTCTGTAGTTCACCTACCTTTTTTTTTTGGGGGGGGGGATGGATACTGGGGACTGAACTCAGGGGCACTCGACCCCTGAGCCCCATCCCCAGCCCTATTTTGCACTTTATTTAGAGACAGGGTCTCCCTGAGTGGCTTAGGGCCTCGCTTTGGCTGAGGCTGGCTTTGAACTCGGGATCCTCCTGCCTCAGCCTCCCGAGCCCCTGGGATGACAGGCGTGCACCACTGCGCCCAGCTCAGACCTGTCTTTTGGACCCACCGTGGAGGGCCTAGACCTGCCTAGAATGCGCGTGGGGATCTGCTGTGCCCCGATCCGTCCTCAGCACCCCGCAGGCTCCCCCTCCATCAGTGTGCCTGGACTGGATGACTCATCTTCTCCCCGGGCCTTCCAAACCCCAGAAAGGTCTCCGTTGCCTCCTTGTCTCTGAAAGGCGACTGAGTAACGTGACAGTAGTCACAGCTGCCGTTTGTTGAGCGTCTACTATGTGCCGGGCGCGTGCAAAGGGCTTAATGAACCTGCTGTCGTTATCTCCATTTTCTGGAAAAGGAGGCTGAGGTCTAACTGGTTCATCCGCCGAGTGCGTATGAGGTGCCAGGCTGTGCGCCAGGCCCCAGGGAGACACTGGAAAAGAAAACCAATAAACGCCATGCCCCCGGGGAGCTCAGGTTCTGGTGCGAAGGGACAAGTGAATCCATGGCTTGGAAGGTGGCAACAGATGGTATGGAGAAAGCTAAGCAAGGAAATGGGAATGGCGCAGAGGGTTTCACGTGTTTTACGGAGCTCTCCCAGGAGAGTGAGACGGTTCTGGGAAGGCGTGCTCCAAGCGAGTGCAAAGGCTCTGGGGCAGGAACATACTCAGTGTATTCAGAGGTCAGCAAGAAGCCCGTGTGGAAGTGATAAGGGAGCGGCCGAGACCCGGGTGCAGAAATTGGAAGACGGGGGGTTTGGGCAGGGGGTGACCTGAGCCACTCATTTGCTCAGGGTCCCACAGCGGCTCATCCAGGCTGGAGTCAGGTTCTGACTCGAGCTTTGAGCTCCGAGGCAGATCCTGTAACAAAGTCCTCGTGGTGGCAGGTCTGTCACTGCCGGCCTCCTGTCCTGTCCTCCCTCTAAGACGTTGGCTGCTGTTCTGATACCTGCACCGGGGGCTCCTCCCCCATGGCACTGGGGACAAGCAAGGACCTCGTTCATCCGTGCATTGAAGAACTATTTGGCTGGGAACCGTACTAGTTGTCAGGTCACAGAGAGTGAGACAGACACCCGGCCGTCACGGCTCCCAGGGTCTTAGAGGGGAGCAAGCAATCGGGCAGTTACCTCCAGTATTAATGGGAAGTGAAGGGGACGAAAGGGGCCAATAGCAGGGGGACCTAGTGCAGACGGAGAGAATCGAGGAAGGCTTCCTTGAGGACGTGAAAACGGGAAGCAGTGGGTAACTTGGTTGGTTAAGGGAAGGCAATAGCCATCCATAAGGCAGCAGCAGCAGGTGCAAAGGCCCTGAGGTATGAGGGATCTGTATTTGTCAGCTTTCTGTTACTGTAACAAATTCTTGAGATGAATCAACTTAAAAGGAGGAAAGGTTTATTTTGACGCAGCGTTTCAGAGGTTTCATTCGTGGTCAGTGGGCCTTTGTGTGTGTGGTGGGGGCAGGGGTTGAGGTGACATAGCCTGGTGGCAGAACATGGCAGAGGAAGCCCTCCCTTCATGGCAGCCAGGAAGCAGAAAGAAAGAGCAAGAGGCCAGTGTCCCGTAATCCCCTGTCTGCACACCCTCGGTGACCTAGAACCTCCTACTGGGCCCCAGCTCTCATAGGCTCTCCCAGTGGGGCCCCGCTGAGGACCGTTGGGGGACATTTCCACACTACAGCAACCTTCAAGGGCATGAAAAGCAAACGGCGCTGGGTGACAGGGGAGAAGGCCCCAGAAGAGAAGGGGCCGGAGAGCCAAGCCACTCGGCAGCTGCCGGCACTGTAACAAAACACCTGAGGCGGTTGACGTATAAAAAGGTTCATCTTGGCGGACGGTGTTGGAGCTTCCAAGATGGGGCAGACCAAGGCTTTGGGCCCCTTGGGTGTGAGGGAGGGTCAAGGTGAGAGAGAAAACCCGCTGGCCTCATAGACAGGGAGAGGAAAGGAAAGAGGAAGGGACCAGGGTCCTGCAAGCCCCGTCGAGGATGGGCCCCACAAAGACCTAAGGACCTCCCGCAAGGCCCCGCCTCCCACAGGTCCCGCCACCCCTGAGAGCGCCCCCCGGAGGACCAGGCGGTCCACACACTGGCCTCCCACGGGACGGCAGAGTGACCTCTGTCCTGCTGAACGTTTGGAGCAGGAGGTGGCCTGGCTGGGTGGGGCGTTCACTGTGGCCGCGTGTGACATCAAGGGTGGAAGGAGCCCGGCCGAGACCCGAGGGACCAAGGAGAGATGGAGGTGCCCAGGGTGGCCTCCAGGTGTCGGGCTCGCGGGTGGCCCCCCGTGTCAGAGGTCGGGGGGCTTGGGCGGCAGGACACAGCGGCAGGTACCCGCGTCTTCCTACCAGGTGTCCCCGGGCTCTGATCCTGTGTCCTGTGTGCTTCTCCCTGCAGAGGGCCAAGATTGGCCAGGGGACCAAGGCTCCCGAGGAGAAGACCACCAACACCATCTCCAAATTCGACAACAACGGCAACAGGGATCGGATGAAACTGACCGACTTCAACTTCCTGATGGTGCTGGGGAAGGGCAGCTTTGGCAAGGTACAGTGGGACTCGGTGGCTGCGTCCCCTGCGCAGGGCGCACCTGGTCCTGGGGGGTGGGGCTTGCCTTCCAGTTGGGGAAAGAGGAGAAAATCAGCAGATCCACCCAGCTGTTGGCAAGGAGTCTTAAGAAATAAGTCAAGGGCTGTGTCACAGAGAGCGATGCGCTCCAGGTGATCAGGATGTGAGCTGAAGGAGGACCGTGAACCAGCCACACCTGCAAAGACCTGGGAAGGAAAGGGGCCCAGCAGAGAGAACAGCCCGTGCAAAGGTCCTGTGGTAGGGTAGGGCTTGGTGCATTGTAGTTGCCATCAGAAGGTGTCGGCACCAAGAGGACAGGAACGGGAGGGGTTAGGACAATGATTTCACAGAGGGGAACAGGAGCCTTCTGAGTCATACAGACGGACAGGGCTGGTGTCACAGCACCGTGGGAAGCCACGGTCTAAAGTCCTCAGGTGACTTCCTGTCACAATAGAACCGATCCTTCACTGTGTTCCTGGCTGAGGACGCGCTGGATGACCTGGTCCTTTGTTCTCTGCTTGACTTTGTCCTTTCTCGGTTTTCTTCCTGCCACTGCCTGTCACAGTGGTGGCCCTGAGTTCCTGGAACACACCAGTCTCTGTTGTCCCTTCTGGCTTTTTTGATGCTCCGCACTCCCCGGGGGCTTTGTGCGCCTGGCTCCTTCTCGTGATCCACATCTCAACGCAGACGTCCCTTCTGAGAGGGCCTCCTGAGGGCCACCATCCGGTCCCCATCCTGTCTGCTCCTCTCACGGAGCCCATCTCCCGTGATGCTTGGATTTCTTGATGGGTCTGTCCCTCTCCTCTTGCTAAGATCTAAGGTCTCCAGGAGGGGGGTCTTCTCTGGGGGGCACCATGGCGTCTCCAGGACTCCCGGGGGACCCAGGTGAATGCACACATCTTTCTCTGCCTGTGGCCGGGCCCGAGAGGTCATTCTGCTAAGATGAACCAAAGGATCGGGATCCATGACCCAGGGCTTGAAGAGTCTTGGCGCGGAGTGGGATCAGAGAGTACGGGAACCCTGGGAGATGGCCTCACCGTCCTGTGGTCCTCTTGGTGACAGGACCGGGGCTTGGAGCCGGCCCACACCGCGGTGCCATGTTTCCCATCACCTCTGAGGAGCCTGGGGGGGGGGATGGGGAAGCAGGTGGCGAACTTGAACTCAGGTTGGGGATCCGCAGACTCGGAGAACCAAGAGGTTGTGGGAGTAAGAGAGTGTGGGATCCCAGGAAGAGAGGCCATCGCCAGTCTACAGAGTGGGGGGTGTAGCAGGTGCTCAGTAAAATGGTATGAAATCAGTGAATGAAAACGGTGTCTAGCCTGGGCAGGGAACAGAGGCGTCGGGGGTACCAGGAATAGAAAATAGACGGGTGAGTCAAGAGAGGTAGCCCCACGGCGGAGCCTTGGTCCAGCGTGGGCAAGGCCCTGGGCTCCATCCCCCGTAACGCAGAACTGAACCAAAAAAGATATTTAAAATGTGGAGAAGGAGGGACATGCTTAGGTTTCAAAGATGGAGTCATTTTTCTGATGACAAGGAAATAAATGGCCTAAATGAAGGAGAGGTTCTGAGAAGCTGAGTCCACGGGGAGGTTTTGGTCTTTGTTTTTGGCACCGGGGATAGAACTCAGGGGCATTCGACCACTGAGCCGCATCCCCAGCCCTATTTTGTGTTTTATTTAGAGACAGGGTCTCACTGAGTTGCTGAGGGCCTCGCTTTGGCTGAGGCTGGCTTTGAACTCACGATCCTCCTGCCTCAGCCTCCCGAGCCGCTGGGATGACAGGGTGCACAGGCCGCGGCACCCGGCCGTTGGGGGAGTTTTTAAAGATTCAGTTTTAAGCTGGCTGCCGTGGCGACACCTGTAGTCCCAGCTACTCAGGAGGCTGAAGCAGGACCGTGATTGGAACCCAGGAGTTTGAGGCTAATCCGGGCAACGTAGTGAGACCCAGGCTCAAAGAAAAACAATCCGATTTTGTATATATATATATATATATATATATAAAATGATTCATCATTAAAATCACATCAGAAGGATAAACGTGGAGAAGCCTTGTTCCCACCCAGGAGCGCATCTTGCCACCGCCCCCCAACAGCCGCCGCTACCCGCGTGAACCTGGGTTGACTTCCCTGCAACTCTGCTACGTCCCTGTCCTCATCTAACACTCTGGTTCTTGTCCACGCTCGTGCCAAAGTCGGTGTGCCGGGACCACGTTTTTGATCACTGAACAATACAGGTCGGAGAATTGTCTTGGGGAAATGAAAGTTCTAAGCGGGGCCTCGTGGAGAGGACGGGGATGGGGGCCGGGCGTCATCGCGGGACGATGGATCATTGGAGACATCGAGAGGATGGACCGTCTGTTTCCATGGTGACCGTCGTACTAATTGAGATTATACTATAATGGTACTAATTGAGATTATACTATAATGATACTAATGGTGCTGATCCAGGCTGGGGATGGAGATCCAGTAAGTCACGAGGCAACAGCCACGTCACCAAAACCAACACAGCATAGCACACACGACTGCGATCCTCGGACTCACAGAGTTGGGTGACTCTGGCTTTGCCACCTGTGGTTGTAAGTGAAGGCGGTTTTAGAGCTGAATGCTGGCCCTGAACATGTCACATGGGCCGGGCAGGTATCAGTGCGGTGACCCCGGCCTGGGAAGGAATGTGTCCAGCAGAGAGAACAGCAAGTGCTAAGGTCCTGTGGTAGGTCCTGTGCCCCTCTGGATGGAGGAGCTCGGGGTTCCCACCTCCCCTCCCCCAGACCCTCGGTGTCACATCTGTCCCAGAAAAACATGCTCTCAAGCACTGTCATCACCTGTGAAGGCCAGGAGGGGATGACGTGGGCATCTCACCGAGACCTGCGGAGATGCATCGAGAGAGACTCGGCGTGAAGCGTGTGAAGGCCACTGGATCCCAAATGCGCCACCCGCTTCCAAACTTTCAAAGGGAGGGCAGTTGGGAGTGAGCTGTCCTGGTGGTTCAGGGCCTGTCTCCCTGGGCTCCTCGGCACCTCCAGCCGACCAAGACAGAGAGGCTTTCTAGAACTTTTACGACAGAGCCTCCAAATACACTATTCATTTATTATTTAATGTCACATTTTGTAGTTTGATCCTTAAACTCCTATTGGGGATACTTTGAAGCTGTCGCTTGGCTTTGTCCACGTCTAGACCTTTCGGGAGTCTGACCTCTGTGGTTGTCAAGCGAGGCCGGGTTACAGCTAGACTTCCATCGGGCCGGGGTGCACCGTCCAGGTGGGTTTCAGAGTTTGCCTTGTGAAGTGACCGCAGCCAGAGCCTCAGACAACAGACGCCCAGCGTGAACCCAGCCCTCTCTGCCTTACCGACTCGACGCCTCTCACTGTCATCCACTGACCCGACAAACCTCCACTCGATATTTAACTCATGCTCATATATTGCTGGTCTTCCGAGACTTCAGATTTGCTCATGGTAATGTTTTGTCTGATCTAAATCTGTTTAAAAACAAAATATCCTGGGATATATCCCAGTGGCTCGGGAGGCTGAGGCAGGAGGATCGCGAATTCAAACCCAGCCTCAGCCAAAGCGAGGCCCTCAGCAACTCAGTGAGACCCTGTCTCTAAATAAAACACAAAATAGGGCTGGGGATGGGGCTCCGTGGTCGAGTGCCCCTGAGTTCTATCCCTGGTACCAAAAAAAAAAAAAAAAAAAACATTCAAGAGTAAAGTCCCCTCCCACACACATCCCACACACCTATGTCTGTCATCATGGAAAGACATAATTTCAAGTAAAAATAAAACCAAACCATGCTGTGTATAAACTAAATGCCTTTGTGCATAATGCTCACGATTCCTACACTTGTTGAACTTTTCCTCCAACCTTTTGTTTTGAAAAAAAAAAAATTACAGAAAAAATGAAAGAATCACACAAGGAGCCTGATACCTACCTCCCAGGGTCTGCTCCTAACATTTGGCTATGTTTGCTTTATCACGTGTCGGTCTATCCTTGCATCTACCCACTTTTTTTTTCTTTTTTTGGAGCCAGGGATTGAACCCAGGGACGCTGAACCACTGAGCCCCATCCCCAGCCCTTTTTATTATTTTTTTTTAAATTTTGAGACAGGGTTTCACTGAGTTGCTTAGGAGCCTCATGAGTGGCTGAGGCTGAGTTTGAACTTGCAATCCTCCTGTCTCAGCCTCCCAAGCAGCTGGGATGACAGGGTGTTCTGCTGTGCGGCAGGGCTCAGCCTGCTTTTTAATGCATTTCCCAGCTAATTGTAGACCTGAGTCCACTTTACATGCAAACTCCTTGGCATGCACATCATTGAGCCAAGACTCAATCTTTTTGATGATCATCTTAAGGTAAAATTTACATGCGAGCAAATGCACGTATCTTCAGCGTATCATTCTGTGAGTTTTGGAAAATGCATACTTTAAAACACAGCAAGGATATAAACAGTAATCAAAAAAAAAAAATCACACTGGCAGATGTTAAAGCGCAGCTGCTGTGTACCCGCCACGGGAGCCTGGGGGAGAGCAGGATTTGCCCTGGTTCAGGTCTGCAAAGGCTTCCACGAGTGACTCAGACCGAATCAAGAGGAGGCGTTAACGAGGCAGAGAGAGTAAGTGAAAATCTTGCAAGGTCCCCTTCTTCCCACTGCAGCATCCTCTTGGTGAATCTGCCTAGAAGTCAGGGTGCCTAAGCTTCGTATGAGGGTGGATTCTGCTGCTGTAACAAGTAGACCCCCGATGTACCCTGGCTCAGATGCAATGGAAGTTTGGTTCTCATCCTCCTGACAGCCTAAGGCGGGTGTTCCTGGCCCCGCCCACTCTCTCCATATGGCCAGAAGAGACGAGGTTCCTTCCCTCTTCTAGGGCTCCATTAATCTCGGGGGCTTTGTTTTCCTCTGCATTCAGAGGGTGGAGGGGGAAAGGGAGTAGCGAGGAGGCACAAGCTGCTTCTTACAGCCTTGGTTTTGGAAGTGGCCCTCCTCACTTCTG